AATTTTTTAAAGTTGTTAAGCCTCTACTTAGATAAGCTTTTTTCAAGATGAAATTGTTTAAGTTGTTAAATCTTTGCTTAGAGAAGTTTTTCTAAGATGATTTAAAGTTGTTGAGACTCTACTCAAAGAAACTTTCATTATCAAGATTCATAAGTCCTTCAGGTAAAATATGCTAAATTTTCAAACAAAAGTTGTCGAGTTGTTGCTTAAAGAAGCCCTTTTAAATTTTCAAAAGTCATCAAACCTCTGCTTAAAAAAGCCTTTCAAACTAAGAAAAAAAAAGAGAAAAGAGAAAAACTTTTTGTTCAAAGTTTCATCTTTCTGAACAAAATGGTTGTCTATTTATCTTTGCCTTATTCCTGATTCTCAAAAATAGGCAAAGAGGAGCCATGTAAAACACCTATTTTGCTATTATTATTATTATTATCATCATCATCATCTTTTCTTTTCTTTTCTTCTTATTGTCTTTTTTTCTTTCTTATCTAGTTTGGCTAGAATCTTTAGTGCATTAAATGCATTGTCAGACTCTGTAACAAAATTTTCAAAAAAGTTGGGTTTGGTGGAATAAGTCGCCAATTGCCACCACATTTTCTTCCTTTAGTATCATTCTTTTCTTCTTTAAATCTTAGATTTTCTAGGATTTGATTGTTCATAGGCTCTATAAATAAAACTATGCAAGGAACTAAGAAAAGGGATAGAAAAAAAGAAACCAGCCCTGTGCCAAACACCAGTCCCCTTTCCATTAGACTTAAGCCCTGTCAACCTTCTCTCCACTAAGCACTAGCCTGTGCCAAACACCAATAACCCATTCCATCAAAACCAAAAAATTAAAGAAAATCACAAAAAAATCTACAACCATACCACTCAAACCCAGTAAAAAAAGCCAAACAAGCAGTAAAAAAAAAAAAAAGTTTTCAATAGAAAATAAAAACCTTGATTTAGGCGTTATTTTAAAAAATTTTGAGATTTTTTAAAAAAATTTTATGGCCTTGTCGAAAACTGGAAATTTGAAATTTTTAGTGACAATTGAATTTTTTAATCACTGAAATCTAAGTTTTTTGAATTTTTCGACGACCATTGAATTTTTTGACCATCAATTTTTACAAAATCTATTGGAATCTAGGTTTACAAGAATTTGCCTGTAGGTTTGAGAGAGAAGGTGGGAGAATTTGAGGAAGGAGAGAAAGAAAAATAAATAAATAAAATAAATCAAATTTAGGCTACTTATAAAAACAATGTCGTTTAGGCTTAAGAGGATTTGTGCATGACCAGATGACTTGACCCGAGATCGTTTAGTCTACTTACGACCCGCCCCAGCCTCTAGCCCAAGTCGATCCAGTTGAATCGGCACTAGACCCGTTGATCTATTTGATTCAAGTAAAAAAAAATTTTTTAATTTTTTGGCTTTTTTTTAATATTAGTTTTTATTTTGAATTTTATCATTAATATTTATGCATGTTAAAATGTTTAAATTTGGCTAGAATAAAATTTTTTGTTTTAGTAATAATAATTAGCAAAAATAAAAACAAGAAAAGATAAATAAAACAAAATAATTAAAAATATTGTTAAAATTTATGATAATTTTATTTAAATTTAGGATAAATCTTATAAAAAAACAATAATAATAATTAATGATTATAATGCTAATAATGATAAAAAAAATAGTTTTTAACCTTTGATAAATTTTTTTAAAAAGAAAATTATTAGTAAAATTAATAAAAATAATTTAAAAATTAGTAAAAATAAGGAAAAATAAAATTTTTATCCAACGATGAGATTCAAAGATATTCTAAATAGTGATACCTACGAAATCTCTAAATAAGAAGATTTTTTTTTAAAATACTATTAAGATATAGAAGTATTAATAAAAAGTTTTTAATACAATAAACATTTTTTTGCTAAAAAATAGTAAATAAAAATTAACTAATTTATTAAAAATAAAATAATAAAAATCAGGAAAAAAATTTTTATCCAATAACGAGGTTTTAAAAATATTCAAGTAAAGATGCTTTACAAAATTTTTAGGTAAAAAGATTTTTTTAAATATTACTAATGTATTGAAATATTTATAGAAAACCTTCAATATGATAAAATTTTCTCTTTTTCTTCAAAAATTCGAAAGTTAAAAAGACCAATAAATTTTTTAAAAAAAATAAAATATGTGCATCAACATATTGTTATTTGCATTGTATACATATTTTCATTTTTACAAAAAAGTAAATACGAACCCCTGATGATAAGATTCTAATGCATTTCGAGAAGCAATGCCTAGGAAATCTCTAGATAAGAAAGAATTATTTTAATATTATCAACGTATTGAAATATTTTAAGAATTTTTTCTCAAATAAAACAAAACAACAATAATAATAATATAAAAAGAAAAAAAAACAAAATTTCAATAAACAAAAGAAGTCAAAGAAATTATTTTTCAAACACCGAAATTAAGGTTGTTTTTGTCAAATCAAAAAGTAACATATATTTAATTGAAACCGTTTTAAACGAGCGCTGTGGGGACACTAATCTTTCTCCACGCATAAACAACTTTTAGGCCCAAAATATTTTTCAGACCCTAAAATCATCTTTTTAATAAATTTTCATTAATCTTAAAATTTTATTAAAAAAATTTATTTTAATAAGTGATCAATCGCACATAATCAAAAAATATTGATGAAGATTTTTTTTTTTAATTTTTATTTCCAAATTCAATGGATGATTCCAAAACCGTTACGACACCTATTATAACAACTCTTTCTCACTTATAGGTTACTTGTTTATTACCCAAATTGCTTAAAATTAAAGACAATGGTAAATGGTTTAAAGCTTAGATATAATGGCATTTCTTGCTATGTATAATTATAAATGTAAACCATTACATTAGGAAATACTTCTAGCAATTTCCCTTTATAATGATTTCTAACAAAAATCTCCATGCAAGGACATCAATAAGTAAGGTATGAGATGAGTAAAATATTTTTCATCCCCTTGATTTTTTATATTATATTCATTTTTGTATTCATACTCAATAAATATTTTAAATTTATCTTTATTCTTATCTCCACGTGTATTTAATAGTATAAATAATTCCCATCTCTTAGCTTTTAAAAAAAATAATAAAATTTATTTTTTTTATTTTTATCTTATACATTTATGTATTTGTATAAATATATTTTTTAAATAAAAATATATTAATTTTAATTAATCTAAAATAACATTTTATATTATTAAAATTTTTTATTATATATATATATATATATATATATTGGATATGAAACAGTTGTTATATTATCTATCTTATATCTATATCCATTTTTATTTTCATCTTTAAAATTTAATACTTATCTTTATTTTTATTTGAATAAAAAATTAAATTCTTCGTCAAATTTAGATAAAATTGACATATTACTTTTTCCATGTGCTATGCCTCTATATTAATCAAAATTCACCTTCGACTTTTACATAGCTCAAAGGTAACCAAAAACAATAACAGTCTTTAAATTCAAATTTTAATTGCTTAGTATTAATTAATTATTACATTTGTGTTACGAATTCAAGGACGTCAATTTAATTAATAAAATTGCAAGAAAATAAAAATATATGAAAATAAGGACTCATGTTATCATTTATCTTTTTGTATGTTTGAAAATAGATCTCACATTTAAATTCATTTTATGTTTAAAAAGCATTTTCAATTCTCTTTCTTTTTCGCTTTTTAATTTTTTCCCTTTCTTCTACTAGTGTTTTAAAAGCTAACATTTATATAAGCATTTATTTTTCATTAAAACTAAACAATTCTGCAAATAGTTTTTTATATTTTCAACAAATATAATTTTACAAATCTAGTTACAATCCTAATATTATTATCCTTATACAAAGAAAACATATGGATTGACTTTTACAATAAAGTCGACATGGAGTTGAGGGCATAGTAAACCCAAGTTTCCCATGATTGTGCAATAATATTAAGTAAATATATTTTAAATTTTATATATAATAATATTAAATAAAGATATTTTATATCTTCATATTTTTAATAAAAATTATATTTTTAATCTTAAAAAAATTATCTTTTCAATAAAAATTACGTTTTTATTTTTAAAATGTCATTTTTATTGAATTTAAAAAAAAATTCATATTTAAAAGAAATATACATTTTTTTATCTTAAAAACATTAATTTTGGTGAATTCAAAAAAATATAATTTTTCATGTTTTTAACAAAGATTATACTTTTATTTTACAATTATCATTTTTTTCAAAAAAACTTGTATTTTTTATTTTAAAAATGTCGTCTTTGTTGAATTATATATAATACTTTTTTTCATATTTACAATAAAAATTACGTTTTTATATTAAAAATATTATTTTTTTTAATAAAGACAATGATTTTTTTATCTTAAAAATACCGTTTTTGTTAAATTTTAAAAAATAATTTTTTTATATTTTTAATAAAAATTATGTTTTTTATTTTTAAAATGATGTTTTTGCTAAATTATAAAAATTAATTTTTTTCATCTTTTCAAAAAAAACATTGTTTTAATCATAATTTTTGAGAGAATTTCAATAGCACCGTCTTAAAAATGTTATTTTGTTTAAAATATATTATTGAAAATTTATTTTCATAATATTTTATAAAAATCATTATATTTCTAAAATAAATAACATTGTTTATATAATTTAAAAATACAATTAAGTGAAACAAATTGGGAAAAAAGTTTATGAGATCTTAAAAAACCTTAAGAGGAGTAAAATTTTTTATTCTCCTACTTTCCCATTTCTTGACACTACTAGAAATTGTAAAAAAATTTAGTAATTACATTTCCTTGAACCAAATTAAAAATTAAATTATAAAAAATAAGTTTTTAAGAGAAAATTTTATTTTCTCCTAGTCAAACTACTCCTTAATTAAATTTAATTTTCCTCTGATCTTTTTATTTTATGCATAAGTCTTTTTTAATTAAAAAATTAAACACTATTATTTTTTTAATATTTCATTACTTGTACACACGTTAAGATATTAAATAAAACGCTCCCACTCTGACAAACAAAACATCGCCTGCTTTTCTGCAACAATTCTCCGCTGTAAGTCTCCCCTCTCTCCTTCCTTTTCTCATCAAAATCTCTCTTTTTTTCATCAATTTTGTTCGTAACCCACTTCCAATTACTTCTTTCTAATCAATTTTCTGCCTGTTTTTAGCTTTTAAGTTGGCCATATATCGATTTAATTTTATAGTTCGTTGACTAGGGCTTTACATACTATAAACATATTTAAATTTAATTCATTTTATCAGTAGGAAAATTAGAATTCTTGTATGAGTGCATAGGATGAGTTAGTGGAGAAAGGATTCATTATTGTATTTTTCTCGCGTTCTTTGTAAATAAAAAAAATTTGAACTGCTAATTTTAATAATCGAAATTCAAATTTTGATAATTTTAAATATAGAAAAAATTGTGCAGCATAAAAAATTACTTGTATATGAATTTCTTGTGATAAAAATTTGTTATTACCTGTTGGGGCTTTGGCACAAGAATCTGGTTTTCTAATTGCTTTCATGATTCATCAGGTCTAGGAAATGCTGAACAAAGAGATGAAGATTAGAGAAATTCCAGAGGTACTTTGGGGTCCACGTCAGAGGACTGCAATTTCTCCCTGATTCAGGCTTAAAGAGAATTAAACCTCATATGGTTTCTTCAAAAGACAATCCTTCTTTACATCTTCTCAAAATTTTCATTGTTCCAGTTGTATGGATTGGAAAGAAGTTTCATTTTTTTAAGGGAAGAATGGAAGTGTAAGAGCTCTAAGTAACCAAGATTTACCAGATGCTTGGATTTAACTATGTGGGAAGCATCAGGAAAGATGCCAGGCTGGTGTCAGTGTCTTAAAAGAAATACCCTTTTCTATTATGAGATATTTCTTTGTCTTTGTTTTCTTTTAAAAGAGATGGTTAGAAAAGATTCAAAGTGCTGAAATTTAAATTGCAAACATGCTAAAAATTTATCTCAGATAATTGCATCGAGTTAAAATTCGGATACTTTAGTTTTGCTTAAGGAAAATCATATGCGTAGTTGCTCATTGAAGGCTTTTCTTAGAGATATCTTATGTGTTTTTTTTTTTTTTTCGATTTGGAAGGGAGGTTTTAACTCAATTCTTTGAGCAGGAGACATCACCATCACTCGAATGCTCGGAATGATTGTTGGCACTTCTTTTCTCACAGGACTGAGGTAGTTTCAAGGTGAATTCTATAGAAGAGAATTGTATTATAAGGTTCGTAGTCAAGGCAGAGGTTCAAGCCAGATGCTGGGGATTTGCCATGACATTGCTTTGCACCGAGATTTGAACAATCCCTCCGAGGTTTCAACTGTATTATGGTGCCAAAGGTATCCAATCCTATCCCACTAATGTCTTCTGTGATAGTTGGTAAAGCACGCTTTAGCAAAGGAACTAATAGCGAAAGCAATTTATCCATGCAGATAAGTATTACAATTAAGCTTATATTAGGAAGCACAGTAAGAGGATTTTTACTGTACTTACCACCATGTTGGAGCATCATTTTGGCAATGGATTCAATACCATTTCGATATTCCAACGCAGTGGGAAAGAGTTCTCATTGCACTTCCAATGCAACCAAAGTGACCTAACTAAAAGATGTTAAACACTAAATAATGGCATGCAGTTAGCTTATCTTGCATCAACCTATGAAAACCTGAATAAAAGAACAACTGAAATTTAAACTAAGCATAATTTGTCTTATTTTTCTCATCTAAGGTTTCAGATCAATTTAAAAGATATTCAAATAATTTAAAATCCAAAATGACCTGAACCTCCAGAATACCTCAAGATGTACAAGTTTTTATTTTAGTTTTGAATAGCTGGTAATATAGCTTTAGCATACTCCAGGATCTGTATGATATCAGTTTCCCCAAACCTTTTAACTTGAGTAAAGAACTTCAAGTCCACATGGTCAGAAGTAGCATCAACTGTTCACAGGATAAGAGTTCAACAATTAAAAAACATCTTTTGATAAGGTAAACACTAGGGAAAACGTCAGTTCACACAATAGTTTCTTTTCTTTTTTTTTTTTTGGTGCATCTCATTTCACACAATGAACATTCAAGAAATGTAGCCTTATAAACTCAAACATAACAGAAGAACATATTTGTAAACTACCTGTTATTGTAATGCTCCCATCAACCGGAGGTAAAGATGCCATATTCTCACTAGACATTGATTCTGACCTGATAAAAAAAGGGAAATGACATCAATTTTTTTATAGAACATGATTAGAGTTATCCTCAGATTTTGTCTATACCTAATTTCCTTCTTAGGCAATTTTAAAGGTGCACAACAATTTTCTTTACATTAACAATTCAGACTTCACTTAGTGGTTTATTATATATTAACATTTGTTAACAACAATGATCTTTGTTCGGACCCATTACAATTCAATGACAGATCATTAACATAAAAAAAATGGAAAATCATATTCAACTATGTTGAACATCCAGTCCCATACGAGCAATGCCTCGAGAAAGCGCCTGGAATGTCAATTGTCAAAAATCTCAATAATCAAACAAATTTATTTGACAATTGCTCTATATCACTAATGATGCCAAAGAGAGCATTTATTTCCAAGCTTCTATTCTACAATTGACAAAAGTAAATACCTTTCTAAAAGCAACAAAGATTCTTCCTTAAAGTTATACACAAATTTACAGAGAATTACCAAATAACAAAATTTACATAAAACTTACACGAAGGTTTTTAAGTTCCTAGGGTTCTCCAATAAAATTAAAACATCTGTCAAAATTGCTAAGTCACAAATAATCCACTTAATGTTGCCATTAAACCCTCACAAACTCTTCATCTTCTTTTCTTCTTCTTATATATATATATATATATATACACACACACACACACACACACACACACACACATATACTTGAGTTCTTTGCTCTGTATCTCACTAGTAAGCTCTACACCAAAAATAAAACCCCTCCTCTGTAAGAAAATTTTACAATGCAAAACCCTTCCTCTGTCAGCAAAACTTATATTTTGATCTGAAAAAATAAAGTAACATAAAAATCTGGTTTGATGTTTGATTTCTGATTTAGATGTGGGGTGAAACACGGGAAAGAAAAAACAAACAGAACAAAGGCTAAAAACAACTCAAAACAGAACACAATTCAAAGACAGTGTGTGCTGGAAATTCACTTAGGCATTTTATCAAACCCTGAGCCAGCAGTGCCATTAGTACACACAAACAGAGTATATGGTGCTCGGGAAGGACTCCTCGCAGCACTTACAAAATAGTTACAAAGTGTTTTTGACACTACACTTATAGCATAATGCCACATAAGCTACACATACTTCTAACTAAGCTAACAAATATATAAATACAACCAATCACAAAACTAGTCAGACTTTACAATCTATTTGCAGGCAATGTAAACTAAGACAACTCAAGCTACAAATGTCAATAACGAAAACCAAGTAGCAGCATACCATAAGAGTTGGTTATGACTCTTAACAAGATGAAGTTCTCTGCTTTTGGTGCAAGGTCTATAGCTGAGATGAGTGAGATGCAGAGCAAAGAAACACAAGTATAAGAAGAAGGGGGAAAGAAGATAAGCTTGCTCTGTATTTTAATGAAGAGTGTTTGAGGGTTTAACTGCAAAAATAAATGTTAAGTGAGTTATTTGCTGACTAAGGTAATTTTGACAAATGTTCCAACTTTATTGGAGAACTCTACAAACTCATATAAGTTTTCCCCTCTATTCTATGTGAAACATGTGCCAAGGATGCAATCTTTAATTGAACGTACCTAAAAAAGCATATTATATATATATATGATAAAAGTAACAATAGGAAAGCTCTAAGGACTAAAATGACATATTAATCGCACTCAAGACAGAGTGTTGGATACAAATATGTGTCCGATGTGGGTATGTTAAGAGGAATGTACTTCCATACTCATATTTATTGAATATGTGTTGAATATAAGAAGTATGGAAAGTCGAAGCAAGATAACTTAAAAGAATTCTTCACAAACATGAAATTGTCAGAACTCCTAATAATAACAGGTGGATATAAGTTTGAAAGGGACACTAAAAATTACATTATGCATGTCATTTACAAGTACACAGTCACTCATGCCTGCGAGGGGAGATACCTGTAGCTGTAACATTTGTGCAGAATTAGCATCTGCAGTTTGATTTATTGAAACGCTTAACGGTCCAGATAATGTCTTGTTCAATGACCATACAGCAATACCAGTGGCTATTGCTTCCGTACCTTGTGCACTGCGGTTTAAAGGTGCTCCTGCCTTGACGATAGCAGCAGCCTCTACTCGAGTACCACTGTATCAACATGAATAGGGGAATGAATGAAAAATCAGACTCGAAAATACCAAATCAAAACAAAATGGATTTCTCACACCCACCTTCGGTTTTCAACTGTCAGAGTAAAATGGCGACAATAGTTTTCGGCGTTGCAACCCCTTGCCGGGCCATTAACAGGTGGAGGGTGCGTTGACGTCGACGGAGGAGCATTATTATTCCCCCTAATGATGCCATACGCTAATGTTGGTGGTTTCTCAGCCGCTTTCATTGATGGGCATAGCAGCAGAAAACTCAAAGCAAAAGCCATTGCTCCCATGAGTTCCAAATTGCCAAATGTCTTCATGCTTTTGGGAAAAACAAGAAGTCCAGTCTGCCAAAAAAAAAGAGTGAAGAAGTTTAAGGTACAAAAAAATGGAATTCTGGTTGGAGAAGGGAGATCAGATAGATAGTTATGGAAAAGGAAGAGTTAATGGAGGTAGGAAAAGAAAAGCAGAAGCAGAAAAGGGGATTGGTGTGGTAAAACAGAGGACGATGTTCCCGTGGATTTGAAGGAAGATGAGTTCTGACATGATCCCCTTTTCTGTTTTTGAGATAGGTGATGATGGCTGGCCCAAAAGAGCCATCCACCAGCCATGATCGCCCCTTCATGGAATTGTCAAAAAAAGCAAAAGCAGAAAGGGGACGGTTAAATAGAGGGCGCAGAGGGGCAATAGTTTGATGTTCCTGTGGATTTGAAGGACGATGAGTTGTAAGTTTGAGCCTTTGCTAGAACAAAGGAAATTTAAAAAATCAAAGAAATTCGTATAAAAAAAAATCCTTCGTTCCTCTGTCGTCTTGCCTGGCTTAAAAAAAAAAAAAAAAACGAAGTCGATAGTGTCTGCTAAATCCAAAATTTTGATTTAAAAAAACACTACATCACTACTATTTAAAAATTAACAACTTCATTGCAAATTCGATACACATTTACAAGCAAAATGAGAGGAAAAAAAAAAAAACAACGATAAGTGCACATGTTTCGACAAATTTATATTGCAAACAGAGGTATTGTGTTCAATAGCCAGATGACCTCAAATAAAAAAGAAAATACTGGATAAACAAAATGTTATATTACCCTATTTTCTTCCTTCTTCTTCTCCTATTAAGAAGGCAATAAAATTAGATCTCTCGAGTTCTTCCTTCTTCAATTTGGATTGGGTATCTCTATATATATATACACGAGGAATGCTAGCGGGATTTCCTCCTACTACTGCCTTTCAGCGGTCAACACCGGACGAGCAACGTCCCCTCAGTATTCACGATTAAAATATTGATTGAGGTGAGATTCGCTTTTTCCGATATTTACTATGCACATCTATTAGTCAAGGTCTGACAATTTTTCAAAGTCGTATACATTTCTTACATTTAAACCTAGTACAATGTACACCACTAACAATTTCAGTTTTCACTTTTCGGTGAAAAGCGTGACCGTAAAAATATAAATTTACAGAAACTGATAAAGAGGTATGGCGAAAAAACTACCATTATTACCCAAAAAAAAAATATTACAAGAATTTTAGCTTGCTATTCGTCAAAAAACAAAAAAAAGAGAAATCAAAGATTGTTGGAAGAGTTAAGAGATTCTAACACAAGCAAATTAGAATCCAAAAAAATTGATCAATGTAGCAATTAAAATCCAAGACTTTGGTATTTTGAGAAAGAGAGAAGAGTAAATCAAAAATAATTTTAAAAAAAATGAAAGAATCACTTAGGGCCATTGAAAGCTTGGGTGCCAGTGTCGCATAAAATTGTGCTTTCTTCCGAGGTCAGTTTGTGTTTTTTAATTTCTACAGTGTTGAGAGAGGTAAAGACTTAGAGAGAGAGAGAAGGCAGAGGGTTAAACTTTAAAGAGACAGCAGACAAAAAGTAAAAAAAGTTTTAGATCTTTTATTAGTTTTGCAAAGCTAAGAAAGAATATAAAAGAGAAATAAAAAAAAGTTTTAGACAAATTATATATATATATATATTGTCACATAAAATTTTAATATAAATAAAAAAATTTAGTTTAAAATCAAATTTTATATGTTCCTTCAAACATCTTTAATCAATAAATTAAAAGCTCAGAGACACTTTTAGACAAATTATAACTTGTTGCGAGAAGTTACCGGTTTTAAGACAAATTATAATGGCTTTCTTTTATAAGAAAGGTGACTTGTGATTATCATTATAAAGGTACCTAAACTCTATTTCTTGTTTAAGTTGATAAATAACTTGCAACTTAGATTTTTGTTTCTTGTTTAAATTGATATGTAGGTAAACTTAAAACTTGCCATTATAAGTAACATACAAGTAATTATTATCTTGATTGCTTTCATTATTAGCAAAAAGTTTTAATTAGTAAAAATAGAACAATCTAAAACTATAGCTTAGTAACATACATGATTTTGATTTCTTTTTCAAAGAATAATGCAATTTATCTATAAATTTGTTAATTTATAACATTGATTACTTCAACGATTATAAATAGAAATTTTAATTATGAAATTTCATAATCAAATCATAATCTTAAAATCCAAAAAATAAAAATTTAAAACTTAAATTTATTGACCCATGTTATTGCCAATAAATTGTCATAAGTGGGGATTTAAACTCCAATCTTGTCCAACTCTTAAACCCGAAGATTGATTCTTTTGATGCTGAAGTGCATGTGTCACGGGTCGAGACTTATGTTCCGAATCCGCGCGGCTCCGAGACCCAGGCATTCACTCATCCGACGTCTCAGATCAATTTGACCGTCACGGTTCACATCCTTGTGAGGTATTATCCGTTCTGGTCCACCCTGACCTCACGGTTTTATCCTACAAAAGGTACCTCACAAGGTAGAAGTGGTGTGAACCTTTATATACCTCAGTGACATTCCTTTTATGTTCGATGTGAGATTCAAGACTACTCCTTAGGTCCGTGACATTCTCTCCCACCCAAACTCGTGACGCCTTCGTCACGAAGGCTGGCCACCCTGCCTACCTCCCTCTAGAGGTGGTGTGAACCCTTTTATACCCCAGCGACCCTCTTATTATGTTCAATGTGGGATTCAGGACTCTTCCTTAGGTCTGTGACATTCTCCTACACCCAATCTCGTGACGCCCTCATCACGGAGGCTGACCACCTTGCCTACCTCCCTTGAGGTACTTGGCGTGGATCGAACAGTATAGAACTGGCTTTGATATCACTTATCACGGGTCGAGACTTAAGCTCCAAACTTGCGTGACTTCGAGACCCGGGCATCCACTCATTCGACGTTTCAGATCAGCTTAATCGCCACGGTTCATACCTTTGTGAGGTATTATCCGCTCTGGCTCCTTCCGGCCTCACGGTTTTATCCTACAAAAAGTGCCTCACAAGGCAGAGGTGATGCGAACCCTTATATACCCCAATGACCTTCCTATTATGTTCAATGTGGGATTCAGGACTCTTCCTTAGGTTCATGATATTCTCTCTCACCTAACCTCGTAATACTCTCGTCATGGAGTCTGGCTACCTTGCCTACCTCTCTTGAGGCACTTAACATGGATCGAACGATATAGGATTGGCTCTGATACCACTTGTCACGGGATGAGACTTAAGCTCTAAACCCATGCGACTCTGGGACCCGAGCATCCACTCATCCGACGTTTCAAATCAACCTTCATGACACGGTTTATACCTTTGTGAGCTATTATTCGCTCTGACCCCCTTGGTCTCATAATTTTATCTTACAAAAGGTACCTCACAAGGTAGAGATGGTATGAACTGGTATCAGAGGTAGCCCTAAATCGTTCAATCCATGTCAAGCACCTCGAAGGAGGTAGGTAGGGTGGCCAGCCTCCGTGATGAGGGCGTCACGAGGTTGGGTGAGAGAGAATATCACAGAGTTAAGGAGGAGTCATGAATCTCACATGGAACATATTAGAAAGGTCACTGGGGTATATAAGGATTCACACTACCTCTCCCTTGTGAGGTACTTTTTGTATGATAAAATCATGAGATCAAAAGGGCTAAAGCGGATAATACCTCACACTTATCACGGGTCGAGACTTAAGCTCCGAAGTTGCACAACTTTGAGACCCGAGCATTCACCCTTTTGGCATCTCAATCAGCTTGACCGTCACGATTTACATCTTTACGAGGTATTATTCGTTCTGGCCCCCCAACTTCACGGTTTTATCCTACAAAATGTGCTTTACAAAGAAGAGATGGTGTGAACCTTTTATACCTCAGTGACCCTCCTATTATGTTCGATGTGGGATTCAGAACTCTTTCTTAGGTCTGTGACATTCTACCCCACCCAATCTTATGACGTCTTCGTCACGAAGTCTGGCCACCATGCCTACCTCCATCAAGGTGCTTGACGTGGATCGAACGATTTAGGGTTGACTTTGATACCACTTATCACGGGTCAAGACTTAAGCTCCAAACCCACACGATTTTGAGACCTGAGCATTCACCCTTTCAGTGTCTCAGATTAGCTTGATCACCACAGTTCACACCCTTGTGAGGTATTGTCTGCTCTGGCCCTCTGGCCTCATAGTTTTATCCTACAAAAGGTGTCTCACAAGGCAGAGATGGTGTGAACCTTTTTATACCCTAATGACCCTTCTATTATGTTTGATGTGGGATTCAGGACTCTTTTTTAGGTCTGTAACATTCTCTCTCACCCAATCTCATGACGTTCTTATCACAAAAACTGGTCACCCTATCTATCTTTCTCAAGGTGCTTGGCATGGATCAAACGATTTAGGATTGACCTGATACCAACTGTCACGGGCTCCAACCTTAGACTCAAAATTCGTGCAACCTTAGGCTTGGAATCTCTTCATTTATGCCTAAGTCGGCCTAAAACATAAGCTTGCGAGCACTAGAACAATGGGAAGGGCTGATTACGCAAGTTAAAGAGAAATAGGATAACAAGGCAGAATGCTGAAATATGCTTTATATTCACTAAAACAGAAGTGTTTAATGGTGTACGAATGAGGGTGGAGCAACCCTCTATTTATAGTTGAGGCTTCAGCTACACTTAATGATATTATCCTTACAATAAAGGCTAAAAGCATGGGATTACACAGATTACAATCAATCAAGATTCTAACTCTTGATTTCTAGGGTCAACCAAATCTGTCAGGAGGCTCATGCTGATCCTATAAGCTTCCAGAAGCTTCACTTGGGTGTCCAGCACCTTGGGCCCTTTTGAATGTGGTGTTGGCAACCTGTTTGCTAGGCCTTGGCCTCACGGGCTGGCCTGCAAGCTGGGCGGGCATTCTGGCCTCGTCTCCTAGGCTTTACGCGTAAATACCCGTTAACGCGCCTAGTCTGCAGGTCTCAACCTCTGGCTCCCGTGCTGGTGCACCTGATGTGCCTGAAGCGCCCGTCCAGGGCGTGACATTCTCCCTCACATGATTGTGCAACGTCCTCGTTACATCTTTTGTATAGTACTACCTGATCTAGTCTCTGAATAACCATAAGTCCTCTACTGGTTCCTAGCTCACCTCACTGTCTGAAAGTCCCTTTCAGCGCATCAAGTACTCTTGTCTTGATTGGTAGTTCTTTCGTATCACCTTTCGATCAGCTATGATGCTATGAACCTCTTTTTCATATAAAGCATTTGCTCCCAATGGTGCACGCTTTGACTTTGCCCGTCCTGGATCTTCTTCATCCTCATGAAATGGCTTGAGCATGCTTACATGAAACACCAAATGTACTTTCAACTTGGGTGGCATATCCAACTTGTAGGTAACCTTGCCTACCCTCTTGACTACTCGAAAAGGTCCCTTATACCTTTGGA